TCCTGTGCAACCTGACCTGACCTGACCTGACCTGACCTTGACATATTGTTGGCGGCTTTTAGGATTGGGTTTCATTACTGCTCTTGACCGCTACCGCGTCGCAGAAATCGCTTTTGCAATGGGCTCCCTCTTCAGAAGTGAGGAGATGCAGTTATCTCAGGTGTTTTTGCACACCGACATCGCTTATATGTGCATATCTGAACTTGGAGAGCTCGGGCTGGTTCAGTTCCGTGATGTAAGTAATAGTCTTTTATATTTGTTTGTCAGACTGCCGCTGGGACAAGCGCTTTTCAGCGTAAATTTGTAAATGAAGTGAGGAGATGCGACGAAATGGAAAGGAAGCTCCGTAAGATTTTCTATTTTTTTTATTTTTCCTCAGGCTTTCTCGAAAAGGAAATAGTAAAAGATAATTTCCCAATACTTGACACGGGTGAAAATCCCGAAGCACCTGCACCCCGCGAAATAATAGATCTTGAAGGGATTTTTGAAAAACTCGAAAATGAACTGCGGGAAGTTAACGCCAGCGCAGAAGAACTCACAAAAGCACATATAAAGTTATGTGAAGTGAAACAAATACTCCGGAAGACGCAAAGTTTCTTTGAGGAGGTAAATTACTCGGATGGTCGGATTTTATCGTTAACCATATCCTACTTATATTTGTTGTTGGTTGACGTTGTTGGCCCACTTCATTTACATCCTGTCCTCTTGGGAACAGTCGTCCCGTCCGTGTAGAGACGAAACGTGACAGGAACACCCGGGCGTTAGCAACAGTTCTCTTGTATGGTGCTAGAATTTTAGCCACGCAGTTAACAATGCATTAAGATTATTGGCAAGTTGCCTCATGATGGGTTCGTGGGTGAGGTATTGGCAGAATGCCCGCACGAACCCATGGATGTTCGTGCGTGAGCATACGCGTATACATCATAGAAGAACAATTTAGTCTACCACTGCACCTTGCTTCTCATCCATGTAGGTTGATTTACCGAATTTCTGACTCGTATGCGGTCCTCCGTTGTGAATATCTGTCCATGGAGCATTGAAACTGCAGAAATTCAATAGAATTAGTCCGTTGGCTCTATTGTTCAGCGTGTAGAAGGACCTGAGTTTGAGAAACGGCCGGTGAAATAGTTACGCAGCTGGGAATCACACAAGTGCACCTCAAGCAATGCCCGACCAGTAATTAACGTTCAATATTAGGGNAAGGAGTTACCTCAAGTGAACGAAAAACACCGGGCTCGGTGTGAAGATTCACGGTGCTCCTTGAGTGTAGCACACCGATAGTGCCACTCCAAACAAACCCGGTGCACGGTGCACAATATTTAAAACCATAGCTCGGAATTTTTGTTGGTAACTTTATGTGACTTGATTTATCTAACAAAACTCGCTCGTGTCTGCGTCCATTTGGTGTTGTCCTTGCGCCCCACCTTGCTGTTGTGTCGGTGTACATTAAAAGTGCGAAGCTTTACCGACTGAACGATTGTCCATGCCTTCAAATGATTTGCCCCTCCGTCGTCGGGGTCGCTCTCAGGCGCTTCATGACCCGGCAATGGCAGAAGAAAATATCGGTCTTCTCGGTGGAGAAGCAGCGGCCACTGGAGGACTTCGTTTGGGGTGGGTCTTGGTACACCATTTGCTTTCAGTTGTTCTGTTTGCCTGCTAATGTGTGCGTTTGAAGCGAACTTGCCTAAGCGTCGTGAGGCACGTTTTCATAACGTCTAAACCATTATTTTGTTGCACTGCTTGCGTTTGCACTAGCTTTCACATTTGCATTTGTTTGTTGTTGCATGGTAGAGTGGTGCTGAACCACGTCTAGATTTGCATGGTGATGGCCACGCTTTGGAAGGTGGATTGCAGCAACAGGGTCGGACAGATGCTGGTAGAACTCACCTAGAGTAAGTGAGCCTAAATGCTCGAACATTTTGCTAGTTGTTTGGCTTCCCGGGACCTGCTTGCATTTTATGAACTTGCTTGGAATCACGAACTTCGCTAAATTGCACGTGTGGACCTTTGTGTTGCATTTAGCTTCTAATGCTAGCATACGGTTTTTGAAATTTGCATTGCAGCATGTTCACTAATTATTTTCTAACAGTCAAATACTTTTTTTTTTGAAGCACCGACAACTTAAGTTGTTTTGATCATTTGCGCACCAATCCTATGACTCGTTTTCTCCTGGTGAACCATTATAGATGCAGTCGACACGAGTGGTTGACCGTGTTTTGAGATGGACAACGACAGTTCCTTTTCATAATCGAATAACGTCCAATACATCGCGTTGTCCCCCTCCGACTATTTTCAGTTGCATTATCTGAAGTCAATCATAGGGATAAACGATTAGTTTGTATTCCTCCCTTCTGTCTGTGGATCGATGAACCTCACAATGTGCATTTGTTTCACCGTAAATGACTCACAAGCTTTATAAAGTCGGTGTTTAAATGATATCAAATGAGCGTCTTTGTTTGGTGAATTCGATGTTTACTGTTGGCCTAGTGTTTTGCCATGTCCGTGCTTGTGCGGTGTTTCGCGGAAATAGCTGTCTCCAGCCCCTCATTTCCCGGTAATCACTTGTACAGTTAGCTATGATAATATAACTTGCTGCGTCCTGCGGTCCTTCCTTACAGTTCACTCGCCGGCGTGATTGATAGAGATCGCTTGCCAGCGTTTGAGCGAATGCTGTGGCGTGCTTGCCGCGGTAACGTGTTTTTAAAGCAAGCTGAAATAGACGAACCACTCGAGGATCCAACCACGGTGAGCTTTTGCCAGACGCATTACTGTATCAATTTAGTTAAATCATTCCTTATACTTGACTTATCGTTTATCAGTAGCTCACCTGCCAAACACTCGATTACGAATAAAACTAGTTTGACGAACAAGTTTGTTTTTGGTGGTTCATCGACTGCCTGGTACATCACTTCCTTTCACTTTTGTAGAATTTAAGGAGACTGTCCCTCATGGTTATCTCGCCACCGCACAGTATCATACGACTAAAACGGTCATAGCAAAACTTGTTCCCAAGCATAACAATGTTTAGTTTTAGAGCAAACTAACCCAGGATTCGCATTCTGTTTAAAAAAATGAACAAAACTCTAGGCATTAATTAATTATATGATGATCATACAGGGCAAATTAAGTGTGAACTGATGCCGTTTCAACCTGACTGGATGCCATCAGCAGTAAGAATCCATCGAAGGTCAAACCAGTTAATGAATCACTGTCAAGCCTCTTTAGTGAACTGCTATTTCTAATTGTGGTTGTGGTATATTCGAAATGTTAGAGCAAAGGCTTATAATAAGGGTTAACGGGTAAAGACAAAGAAGCCATCATAATATCTTTAAACTGCCAGTTAGAGGGTCTTACAATTTCAAAGCTCATTCTTATGATATAAAAATACCCATATCATATATTTTGTCGCTTTCGATTGTCTCCCCTTCCAAATCAGGGAGCCAAAGTACACAAGGCGGTATTCTTAGTTTTCTTCCAAGGTGATCAGTTACGCACACGTGTTAAACGTATTTGTGAAGGGTGAGTCTTGCATTTAATGCTATCCAAATGTCGATAGNTTATATTGTTATCCTTTTGCAGTAAACTTCGCTTTCTTGGGCTTCATTTTTTTCTTTTCGGTTCAAACATTCTTACCTACAGGTTCCATGCAAGCGTATCTCCATGCCCTGACTCTCAAGCCGATCGTCGTAATATGGCTATTGATGTAATGCAGAAAATTGAGGATTTGGAAACCGTCTTGAGCCAAACGAGACAACATCGCCAGCGCATCTTAGAAGCCGCGGCTAAGAATCTACGCGTTTGGTTTATCAAAGTGCGAAAAATCAAAGCTATCTATCATACTTTGAATCTGTTCAATTTGGATGTGACCACAAAATGTATGGTTGGCGAATGCTGGTGCGCAGTTAATGACGTAGACAAGATTCATTTGGCTTTGCGTCGTGGTATGGAGAGGAGCAATAGCACACTCCAACCGATTCTCAATGGTCTAACAACAAGAGAAAGCCCACCTACCTACCATCGGACCAACAAATTTACCGCAGCTTTTCAAAATATAATTGACGCTTATGGTGTAGCACGGTACCGTGAAGTTAACCCGGCTATTTTTCCTGTGATCA